TGTGCATGGTGTGACCACACCCAAACAAGAATACGGTACGGGGCTAGATAGCCAGTAGCTATGCATGCATTTGATTTTACTATATATATTTAGTATATTTATGGAAATCTAAATTTTGAAATTAGGTGGCTTTGCCGCATATAAAAATAAATAGAAATCAGTTTTGGAATATAAGCGAATTAGCCTTGGGTAAGGCAATAATTACTCTCGGAGTAAGCGGATTGCGATCCGCTCACTCGTGCTTGTTTTAAGTATAGAACGAAAGGGCGGTGACCTAGATTACGCTTCTCAAGCGCTGAGCTACGGCAGCCCCGCTGCACGACTAGTATACATCGATGAAATTGCGATCCGACACACGCACAAAAACTTATATCATCAACGTCTGCTCTTCCAATTGACAATAGAACGGTGATACAATCAGCTATAACCTTTGGGAGCGTTTATTTGTGAACAACATGCACTGTCCTATGACCATACTTGCTTTATATGTAAAATCTCAAGTGCATCACGATAGCCAACACGTCCCGACGTACATAATTTGTACTGTGCAGAATAATCGTACTAACTACCGATACTTACTTTGTTTAATATAAGTACGGGTGACGGTCAGGGATGAAGTCCTAGCAAAAGCGAGACTTTGGAAATGTTATTATTAAGCTCTGAACATTTAAATTATGTAGGAATAGATAGGACCGATACGAGATATAGCCTTGATCTCCTCTCTTCCAAATTTATTTTTAGAAGGCACGATATGTTCCAGCCGAAAGCAAAGGTAGTCGTGCGCCAAAGCGATTTTGAATTACAAACAAGATTTCGATAAAATCAAAGCACCAAAACGTAACAGTCTTAATCTCTGGGGGAAGATCCACCTCGTACACCTTTTTCACTCGTGGCTTCAAATCAAATTTGTCATACTCATTTGATAAGTGTTGAGCACTTCAAGAGAACTCGATGAAAGGTGCCACTAATTTCAAAGAAAGTCGTTTTAAGTCGAGCACATCATGTACACGTAGATGACTGTGTTGTCGTTTTTGCTGTATTGTCGACTATTTCTCAGCGTTATTTTTTGCGGCGTACAGTGCTAGACATCATTCTACGCCAAAATATTTTGCTTGCGGTGTCGATCATGGTTGCCTGTGCGGTCAATTAAGTAGAGAGTATCCAAAGTGCGGCTACGCTTGTGCTGTCTTGCTATCTATTTCTCTGCCAGTATCAAAAATTTGTAGGTTTTCAAATGCAGGCTCAAAAAGAAAGTTGGTATCGCCTGCGATGCGTTGATGATAACATTACGTAGCCAGAGAGGATACATTTACAGTGGATGGAGCAGAAATTGGCGAAAAGGAGGAAGACCTAATGCCCAAGGTTTTACAGATTTGCCTGATAATCCACTCGCGTCAACGTCAGTAATATCCAAACGAGACAATTGTAACATTTTGAGCTTGTGTTCGATATTTCGTGTCGAATGGAAACGTTGTCATTACTTCTACTGTCAAAGATAGGTATTCTTCAAGCTAGCAATATAGCTAGGACAATCTTGCGGGAAATAATCTCTTCCATTGCTATTACATTATTACAATCGACGCGTGCTAGTCCCTGTATTCCACTAGTGCTCAACTGCCACTACACTGCTAATGATGACGACCACCTAACTGTTCATACGCAGCTGCTACGTACCATGTTACCGACTTTATCCATCTCCGGTAGCAGCCTGTAATATTGCCGTCGGCAAAGTACATATGGCACGGTTCTAATACTTTCCTGGACGTCTTTAACTGTAGCAAGCACTCTCCATCAAAAAGTTTGTTCGCATAGTGCCTACGATCCAATAATAAATAGTGAAGTTTGCCAGAGTTCTTGGCTTTGAATTCATCTCAATCTTAAATAACTGAAATCTTGTCCTGATGTGGCACACTTACAAAACTTCAACAAAAGTAGTCGCAGCCAAATTCTCGAATGTGACTCGCATTGCACAAGGGAAAAACCAGCTTTACCTTTTTGAGTTTACATCTCAAGTACGACGAAAGGTAAATAACATATTTGGACTGGAACGGTTAAAAAATGCTGCAAGTCACTGTCATGCTCGCAGTGTGCACGGCAATTTTTACCACAGATAATGAAAAAGTAAATAATCAAGAGTTCACTTGATTCTTACTGCTTACAAAAGCATCTACCGGCGCGTCATGAACAGAAGCCGCAAACGCCTCTTCTTTGGATTGATTCGGAGCGCAAACGTTGTTTTGATGGATACATCTAATTTATAAGCATCGATCCAAACAATGCGAATAGAGCGCCGATTGTTATACGAAAGCTGCTACACATGATGTTGACATTGGAGTGAAAGTAATTCTGTCAAAAAATCGCTGCTTCCAGTGGATGCACTTCCACTTGGAGCGTGTTCACTCACCGCCACAGTTTTGCTAAGGTCACCAATTTGAAGTCAAAGGGACCACCTCACAGCCATCGTCTGTTGGAAACAAGTTAAGTCGTACCTAAGTAAACCAGGAGGAGTTGTAAAACTCCCAACGATTTGCATAATTAGCTAGCTATAATCATAATATATTTACTTGGAAACTTACCTTCAAACCACCAGGTCCTTCCTTCCTTTCTGACATTTT